AATTGAAGATGATGAATAAACTGAAACAAATATTACCATGTAGTTATCTCTTTTGGAATTCGTTCCAGCTTGTTTAGCACACAATACCTTGTTTAGTTTACATGTTATCATTTCTTGTAACACCAATGGAAATCAGATTTATGCATAATATACATGCAATAATTCTTGAATTCTAAATATTGCATATCATTCCCCCTCCTCCCTCCTCCCTCCTCCACCGCAGATATCAAACAATATTGGAAGCATGTTGTTTACAACCTGATTTTGATATCCTCCCTATGGGAGACCAAACTGAGATTGGTGAGCAGGGTATCAACAAGCGGAGGTCAGAAGCAACGCATCAGTGTAGCCAGGGCCATGTATAGCTCAAATGATGTCGTCCTTTTGGTAAGTAATCAGCAAATTCATCAAGGAATAATTTATCACGGAAATCGTGGTGCAGTCAAGATTAAGACCTGTATTTCTTACTTCTTGGTGCATCAAAGGCAGAATTTGTGCTCTATCGCAATATCTATGACTTGGTATAATAATGAGTCAGCGGAAAGATTAATGAACATGGATGTGTGTTTGCGGGAGGGGAGGAGGGGTTAAAGTAACTGTGTATCAATGTGTTGCGCAAAATAAAAGCATCCTTAAACTCGATGGCGTTTCCAGAATAGATTAACCACAAAATATTTTGTCTCTTTGAGGAACGCTCGCTTTGATCCATCAAACAAGGAATCTTCATCTCTCTCCCTCTCTCTCTCTCTCTCTCTCTCTCTCAGGATGATCCATTATCAGCCCTTGATGTGCACGTTGGTAGTCACATGTTCTTCAAAGGTATTCTTGATTTCTTGATCGAGGAAAGAAGAACTGTCGTGCTTGTCACACATCAGGTCCAATACTTGGAGCATGCTGATCAGGTGAGGGTGTCAGGGGTGAATTTGGGACTCTATAAAGCGGTCAATTGGGTGCCAGTTTACTAATATACAAATATAGGCCTACAATACCTTTCAAGGGTACAGCAAAAACTATGAGCTAATGAAACGGCACAAATAGTAACTTTCCCTAAGGCAAATTTATATCAAATTTAGCTCGAGGGAAAGTTACTATATTTATGCCTCTCAATGCTCATAGTATGCTAGACCCAAGAAAGACATTGCATATCTGCTTTAATTATATCCCTCATGAGCATCTCACTATTACAAAGAAACATGTACTGTGAGCATTCAGCAGCATACCGATAGGCCTAAATTAAACAAAAAGGGAAGAAGAGGTGAATGACTTACCAGATTAGAATCCCGGCCTTCTCCTTAGTTTCCAGAAAAATCGAAATTCAAGTAAAGTGAATTTCACAATAACAAGTTTTTAATGTCAGAACTTCCATGTAACAGCGTCAAACAAGTCAATATAAAGTCTCAAAGTCAAAGCAAAAACACGAACGTATTTACATGGATGGCTTTTCCTTTGTTTTACTTGTTGAAAATAGTGACCGTACAGCCATGAAATTGATATTCTGGCCGTCGATTTTAATGCCGTTCATCGTGTAGGAGCTCGCTCTGGTAGTGGTGCTCCCAGTAGTGACCTTTGTGGTGGGCAGCCCTTGTGGATTGAATGGAAATTGATCGGGTATTTAATCGAAAACCGCTCCAGCTGACTATCATTTAATGATGGCATGTTTTCAGTCTCATGCTCAGCATTCATGTCCTCAGTGACAGTTGTCTTAGATGTAGATGGTTGTTCTTCAACATTTGCACTGCCACTGGTCTTCGGGCTTGTGGAGTACATTTCTGACATCATCGTTTTCTTGGCTTCACTTGTGCGTGCGTAGTTCTCAATAGAACTTTCGGCTCTATGGCAAGCCCGGCTCCCCCCCCCCCCCCCCCACTCAGTGTTATTTAGGGTACGCATATGCTCGTTCCCTCTTTTTGAAAGCACCCCCTATCTGAGGACTGCCAACATTTCCAAACCCCCCTTTCGCGGGCTTTTCGCGGGCTTTCCTGCCTGGAGACCCCCCTAAATCAGGAAAAATGCTCAATGTACCCCCCTAAATTCGAATAATTCTCAAAGTCCAAGAGATGAGAGAAAAAAGAAAAACACCCCCTTTTTAAAGAAATCTCCGGGTAAAAAGTCAAATACACCCTTTTTTTACAATTCTCGGCCGGACTTTGTCGCACGAAAAGTACCCCTTACCGGACATTTTGGCAACACGCATGGGGTCTTTCGAAACCTGAGTGGGGGGCCGGGATGGCAAGACACCGTCATTATGTCTCGGGATGGATATCCTGCCTCGTCCAGTAGAGAGAGGCTAGAAGCTCGCAAAGAATTATTTGTGTATATTTTGCAGCTAGATTCTTGGCAGATTTTTTAACATTGAGCCCACGGTATTTGTTCCAACGGTGTATTTGCATACCACGAAGCATTAGTTACTTTTGCTTTTGATTTCTGCCTCTGCCACATACATTCACAGTCAATATTTAGTTTGGACAGATACATTTTGAGGCTGGTTACTGGGAAAAGGGGATTTCCCGGCAAGGAACACATCTGTCCTGCCTGGCTCTCATCACCATCATCATCTGCATGATTTTCGGCATGCATATCGCAGAGTGTAAAGTACTCACCGTTATTTCTTTCGGCTTCATGGAGGACAAAATTTCCTGGCGTTATGTTCCCTAAATTCCCCATACCTCTGTTAGCAAAATACAGCAGGGTGTCAAGGAAAACCTTATTTTGGAGACCAAGAATCTAAACTTTGCAGAATCATCGTCATGTCATCCTACGGAATGGCAGGGCGGTGTTTCACAGCAAATTTTCCTGTTTTTTTAGAGGCGAGTTGGCTCAGTCGGTAAAGCGTCCGTCTGTCGAACCAAAGATCCCGGGTTCGACTCCACCCAGGCGGATGACTGAAGCCTGAGTTGTGTGTGTTAACGTGCCCCTTCCCTTGTTCATAGACGCAGGTTATGTCAAGTGGAAAACACTCCGTCCTCGGATAGGACGTTAAATGGAGGCCCCGTGTAGAGTAGAGTCACGTACTACCTTTGCACGTTAAGAACCCACTGCACTATTCGTAAAAGAGTGGGGGAAACCCGGTGTAGTGGTCCACCTGCACACACCCCCGGTATAGTACGATAAAATACTCTGTAGGTCTGTACTCAAAAGGAAGAAGAAGAAGAATTTGAACGTTTTCCCACTTCTCGAAAATGACTCCTCTTTAGTAGTGTCCACATTTCTTGACGCCAAGAAACGCCTTTGAAGGCTAAATCGAAAAGCCTGCATTGTTTTCTTGCTGTAGTATCCCGGGTAGTATTCATTTTTCATTCCGAGCTCCAGCGTAGAACTGCGAGAGAAGAAGGTCTAGGGCTACGTTGTCCACAAAATCATCATCAAAATCGGCTTTTATTTCCTTACAAAAATCCCGAAACACAGAGAGTCGGTACCTGATCTGTTTCTCATTGTTTTTGCTGTCACTTCCTTCGTTAAATGTCAACAATTATTCTACATCTAACAGGTGAAAACGGGGATAGTCGGCAGCCATTTCACCACGGTCACTACTGGAAGCAGCCAATTTGTCGAACTATGTTTTTTTTTTAGCTGCTTTTTTCAATGCGCGATCCTAGCCTACGCGCACGCCGTGCGGGAACTCTGCCGATGGCTATGCACATCATACCGGCTGTAGAAACTTAATTAAGGCGGGGGATTTACCTTGCGCGCTCGTTGCACTCCAAAAAATGAAGAAATTTAGATATCGAACGCAGAAATATCGGTGATCGGTGGAAAAAGTGGATTCCGGAAAGTACTATACCATGCCAAACAGTAAATTTTCTCACGCTTCCCAAATTTATGGTGAAGCAATCCCTTTTTTCGTGCTCTGTACAATCGCAATGCAAAAAAGTATACATGAGTGATATAAATTAAAAAATCTGACATACAAAATATCATATTTCCAGGTTCTGTTTGAGTCTAAAGTTGAAACGAACATATTTCATCTTTAGCGTACGAAAGGTTGTGTTTTTAAGGGGGCATGGGCATTTTCCAGAGTTTCTCCAGTTTCCACTGGTCTTCTAGTCCGTTAGTATTACGACCTATTAGGTTGCACGTGTGATATTTCCATACACTCTAAAAACTAAAATGTTAAATCACAAATCAAAAAGGCCAATAATTTGATCGCTTTTTATATTAACACTTCTTATATTAGCACTTTGAACAAACCGGATCCAGCACTATAAATGTTAAATCTGTATCATGTAAAAAGTGTTACTCTGAAATTTTGAAAAGAATGGTCACAACTTGGCCTTTTAATATGATGATTTAGAATTTGTAGTTTGTAGATTGTACAAGTTCAAGTCTTCTTTTTTAGGAGGGGGGGTTGTTTTTGTTTTGGCCTGCTGTCCGAAGTCACATGTCCTACTTAACATTTATGGTTAACGTGACAGTTATGATAGGTTTAAGTTTCGTGTAAGAGGTACGAATCTTTGGACTATACATCGGACCAAATCGACATAATAACGATGCTACGTGGATAACTGGTATAGGGCCTCAAAGGGTAAACTGAGCTAAACCGCTATGTATATGCATCCGCACAAAGGGTTACAACTGATCTCATAATAATATGTCAAAGAGAAAGTCATATATTGTAATGAAAATAAGTTATAGACATAAACATACATTTTCAGCGGCTTTCTGGGCCACTCTTGTTCATTGATGGTCCAAGTCATTTTGACCAGCAGAAAAATATATTTTTCACTATTTGTTTATAATTTGTTTTGCTATTTTTTGATTTCTTGATATAGTTTTTGGCTACTTTTCTATTTTTACGATATTTTTAAAGCGTTCCAAAACATATAGGCTAAAAATATCTATTTTGCTATTTTTCTTCAATTTTTAATCTATCTCTGGACTATTTTTCATATATTTTTTTATTTAGTTTTAGACTATTTTATTTCTACTGGGGTGGTCATTTCACAACAAACTCGAACCAGCTATGCGTGGGACTACTATTTTAAATTCCCCGATTCGGGGTCATTTTTTAGGGGAAAATCACTTGATTTGAAATTAGTTTCTTTGTAGAGGTAACTGAACATAGAAATTCACTATTTCTTAACGGAATTTCATCAGCGGAATGATCGTTTGATGACATCTTGGTGGCATTTATGGACAATATTTACGGGATATCAGTATGAAAATCAGTAAAAGCTTGCCGGTCAGTAAGCGCACAAAAAAGTAGAGGGGAAAAAATATGACTGGTTTTTTCAGTAACGTCGGATGTATCTACATATTGCCGTCCAATGTCACATTATTATAACTGTCACGTTAACCCTAAATGTTAAGTGGGCCTCAAAGGGTAAACACAGCTGAACCACTATGTATATGCATCCGCACAGAGGGTTACAACTGATCTCATAATCCAAGGGTTACTTGGAGAGATCTCCATACTGTAACCTTTCTTATCAAGACTGGCTATGGTGACCTGTATATAGTGAATGGTTTCCGCAAAGCAGGGGTGGATTCAGCTGACGGCAGGGGGAGGGCCAAAGAGGGGGCCAAATTCGTGAGAAAATATTTAGCGGCGAAACAGCCGGCCGGTGAATAAGCGGTAAATCAGCTACACTGATTTCTATTGTTTTGCCCTCGAAAATTTGAAAATTCGCACCCCCCCCCCCCCAAATAAAGGTAAAATTAACGTGTTTTTCCCTTTTTCTTTCTTAGGGGAGTGGCCCCGGCCCCCTACCTGGATCCGCCACTGCTACCAAAGGATGTAGTCGAGGCGGAAAGACATCACATCTTTTAGACAATAAGTGTTGTGAAAATTGCAAAACGTTACGTTCAAACATTGTTATCGATTTGTTTCTAGTTTGTCGAAACAAATACGTATCTTTTGTCTAAACTATTGCAATATTATTGTTATGATCGTTTTGTTTAAAGAATGAAATATAAGAATGACACATACAATAATTGTGATGATGTTCTCAGGTGATCTTTCTCCAAAACGGATGTGTAGCTAGGAAAGGAACAATGCGAGAGATTGGTAAATTGGATCCTTCCCTCGTAGAGTCTTGGAATCTATCTCTCAAAGCGGCCAATGAAGCAGAATTAGAAGTCGGATACTGCAGTTCAACAGATGAAGAACGAGAAGTACTCAAGAAACAAATATCGACGATTAAGAAAGGTAAAAATAGATCACCAATATAATCCATGAAGTAGTTATACTATTTATAGATTCAAAATAGGTTAGGTCAAAGAGGCTTGACGTTTCGTATACTTGCACCACGACTCCATTCCTGGTACAGTACTGGCTAATGGATATTAAGGAAGTCATTACATTCACTGTGCACAAATAGTAATATTTATTTTTAAAAACTGTTTTAGATGATTTTCGTGCCTAAAATCACATAAATAAGAAGATGTTATGGGATTGTAATACAGTATTTCACCAAACTCTGGATATGATAGAAATAAATCATTTTTTGTGCTTGTACTTCAAGTGCAAAAGAAGATGGGGTGTGGATTTAAATTAAAATTAAACTTGAGTTCTGGTAAAAAAAATAAAAAATGAATTCTCACTGAATGTTCAAGATTACAAATAAATGTCATTTGCCAAACAATTTTGGTAGAACATATTTACTGACTAAGAAATGAGCATAGAAAGATAAGTAAATCAAGGTAAGAAGGCCCGACACCTTTTGTGTAGTCCCAAATACACCTTTCTGTGTACAGTGCTTGTTACTTTACCAAGACTGGGCCAAATTTATTATGATTTTGATGACTCCAGAACCTTGCACATTACACTAATAATTACATGCTACATGATCAACTTTTTCTGATTAATTCCACACCTGTTCTTTCATAATGCAATCGCATGACCAGATCTCAACTTTATCTTTAATCTATTTTATCATTAATAAAATTTAGATCAACGTCCTCAAAATGACGACTCTTCAAGCAAATTGATCGAATCGGAGGAGAGAAATCGTGGTTCTGTATCTTATCGATACTACTGGTATTATTTATGTCAGTTTGGATTATGTCCAGGCTTCTTCGTCTGCTTCTTTGCCATACTTCAGAACGTGGCTCAAGCTGGAACACAATTCTGGCTTTCTGTCTGGTCATCGGCTGGTGCCAAGTTACCCAGCAATGCAACAGATGTAAGTAGGCCTACACATTCTAATCTGTTTTCTCTTAGGGACTTACATATTATTTGTTTTGGTATTATCATTTCCTCTTTACAACCAAAACTTGAGGTTAGATTTCAAATCAAAATCAAAAATACAAACGGATAGATAAAAATGGTTGTAATAATGTACACAAAGTCAAAGAACAAGTCGAGTCTGACACATAATGAATATCAATGTGCTATGATCAAATTATTCCGCATTATAAAATACATTAAAGTAAGATCATAAGTTCAATATTTGATAATAATTGTATATATCTCAAATTATATTCCACATACTAAAGATCTTGCGCTACGATTGGTCAAATGTAAATCACGTGATGAAAGATAGTTCGCCTATCACTAATGGAAGAAGAAAAGTTCGTTACACTGTGTACTATCTTCAGTGAAAGTGCGTTGCTCATAATAGGTTTTTTGCTATGATATATACACTCTCAAACGTAACCCGTGAAACCAGATATTGTAGTGACACCCAAGAATGTAGAAATCAATGATAAAACTACCACCCAAAGTAAACACACCGGATTTTTTAAAATCTAGCCAGTGTGAAATCGACATCAATTGTTTCCTTTGTTTGCAGGAAGAAAGCAATGCTTTGCTGATGAGATATATCGGTGTTTACTGTGCTCTGAATGCGGCTGATATGGTCCTGTGTATGGTATGGACAATGATTCTACTCTTTCAGTGTGTCCAAACCTCAAAGAATCTACATAATTTAATGCTAACTCGAGTACTGAGGGCACCAATGAGGTGAGTACTTTATTTAGAAAAATCTAAATCCCTTTGACCATAATTCATCCCTTTTGTCATAGTAGTATAAGTGCGAGATGATCACATACGATCAGCAGCAGGGGCGGCACATACCTTCTTTGTCCCCCCCCCCCCCAGACACACACACACGTACACACACACTTCTTTTTAAAGCAATTTTGTTCTATTTCTCCAAATGTGTAATACAAACAATAACATACAATTGAATAAAATAAACGTTTTCAATATTGATTGCTTATATAAAAAACATTAATTAACAAAAACTTATTTGCAGTATATATATATAACTTCGCAACAAAGTAAACGTATAAGTACCTAAACATAATATATATGTCAATTTTAAGTGTTATATTCCCTTATATAAACAAAAAAATTAAACAAATCTGGAGGTAATTTTACTGGAACAATGCCTGCTCCTCCCTGACCCCTCCCTGCCCCCCTCCACACAAACACCTCCATCCTCCCACACACATACTCACCAACCAACCCGCACACACATACTCACCCACCCACCCACCACACCCCCACACACACACTACTTACTCAGTGGATGTCTAAAACATTCGCAACTCAAGAAAAATATACTAAATAAGTAAGTTAACCAGGCTGCAAAATAGAGTTACAATTTTTAACAAGCTCACGGTGGAGAAGAAAATATTTTTAATTAATCTTAAGCTGCTCCAACTTTAAGAAATGTGATCCCAGCTTTCCCATTCTAATGGCTATTTTCTTTACCTCATCCTATATTTAAAAATACTTTTTTTTCATCTTTTATAAAGGTGGTACTCGCCCCCTCCCCCCCATCTTGACATAAATGTAACATACTTCATCATGAAAATTATAGTATTACACATTTTTATTCTATATGAACTACCTGCCAACCCAACAAATATATCTCGCCATTCTAAATCTTTAATTTCATCTAACTCAAAAAGTTGTACCAATTCCTGCCATATCCTTTGAACGCTCCCGCAAGATAATATTTCCTGCTTATAAAACGAAAATAAATTATCACCAACAAAACCAAATCTATGAAGATGCTCATAAGTATATATGGCTCCACGCTATACTTTAAATTGAAATTATCGTTGTTTTCTAATGAGTATAGTAATTCTTGGTCTAACAAATATTTCTTTTAATTCTTTATCTATAAAATCATAAACATTTTGCCCATCCCTTACCTGCAAATCATACGTTTGCTGTAGTGCTTTGATATAACACACACCACACACACACGCACACAAGCACACCCAAACACACACACAAAAACACACGTTGTATGGCAACCTAAAGGTGTTTTTTAGTAGGAGAGAAAATTATGGGAGAGGGGAAAGAGTCGTGTAAACGAGATGATAAGATCTCCTCCCACACCCTCATTTTTACCTCAGAAGATGAATTTCAAAGTAAACTTCGACCACACAGACGAACGAAATTCTGATGTGCGATTTAAATCAGCCATTTATACAAATCATAGAGTTGGGTGACTGACCGACCCCCCCCCCCCCCTTATATAGTACTTCTGGGAATGAGTGCATTTTATCTGTCAATGTGGCGATATACATACGGATACATTTTTTTCTCAATGTATTTACATTTTTACTATTTACATTTAATGTACATTCCTGATTCAAAGACAGTAAAAATAGAATGAACGCTTCTTTCTTTACGTTATAGCAACAGTCTAACCAATGATTTCATTATCTTGCAGATTTTTTGACACGACCCCGATTGACGAATCATGAACCTTTTGCTTCTGACATGCAGAAACTCGATCAGGTATATATGCAGCATCAAAAGCAGTCTAAAAAACTGTTGTCAAGAGTAACGAATTCTGTCTTTTTCAAACAGTGCCTATAGTATCTAAAAACATAATTTATTTCATCTTACGATTGTTTTTTGGCAGAATGAGATTTGAAATCAAACACATTTGTTTCCTCCTTATCCACAAAACAAAACAAATATAAACTTTTTGTTTGCATTAAAATACATGGCGGAAAGAGGCGATACTTTGTGAAAGTATGACGCTTGTAATTGAGTCGCCTTACAAACGATGCATACATACATTTCGTTACAGTACAAAATATATATAAATTTCTTTCTTTGTTTCTTTCAATTTACTGTATGAAACTCTAATTCGTTATATTGCATATTTTCTATTTTTATTTATCACATTTTTATATTGTACAGTGTTTAGATGCCCGTGCAGAGAGAGCAATGAATAAAATGAAAGAATGTGTAGAAAATAAAGGAAAAGAAAAATTGCCGAATGACACGAGACGAACATATTTTCAATTTTCCTTCTCTGTTGTAGACGCAAGGACCATTCATCTTGGGTTTATTTAAGTTCTTCTTGGCGACCATGACTGGAGTGATAATTAATGCAATTATCTCCTGGTATTTCATTGTGGCTATCATCCCCATCAGCCTGGCGTACATGCTCATTATGAAAGTCTTTATTGATAGCTCAAGGTAAGTGGGAAAATTGGCATGTATAGTGGTTGTCATGTAGCAGTTTTGGAATAGGTTTGTTTATAAGCTTGGGATTGGTTTTTGTTTTTATGTTTCACTTTAAATTAGGATTTTCTTTTTATTTTGATTCTATATTTATTCGTGGGTACTAGATGTAGTAAGACGCCGAATTGGTTGACAAGAACTATTTGTAATTACCTATATATAATCGACATGAGATGCCCTCTTACCCTCACACTCACTGTCTCTAAATGCCATAAGGCTAAATGCAATATTTGTTTTGTCCACATTGCAAAGCAGGTAGTTTTAGAGGATGGAGGGGTTAGGATGGATGAGGAGGGGTTAGGAGGAGAGAGGAGGGTGGGGTAGGAAGGGAATGGAGGTTTGAGGCTCGGTTTCTTGGGCAGGGTGCAACGGGGAGGGGTCGGGAAGAACATTTTCATTTCCATCTTCGTTTAATGTAATAACGTTTAATATAATATTTGTAACTGCTTTTTTAATTTTTGTCTTTATTAATAATGTTATCAAAATCAATGATTTTATATGTAACAGATTGTCTTTTTATGTGTTAAATTTGGGGTTTTTTTAATGAAAAATAAAACTTATTCTGAAACAAAAAACCAAAAAAAAAGCACGGGTCAATAAAATCTATTGGTGGCAGGATATACAGATAAACCCAAGTTTTGAAACTGATACTGGGTTTTAATGAATTTTACATAATGATTTAACGTTATGATCATGAAATACATGTACCTCCGATCTTCTTGTCACAGCGGTGGGTAATGATTGTATTATAAATGCATAGTGAGCATGTGTGTTGTTTGACAATATTCATGATGAAAAGGGTTCACTTTTCACAGATAGAGGCATTATATGGAAAAGTGTTAGTAGTAGGTGCAGTTTTGATAGTGGTAAGTAGTATTAGTCGGTAGTAGTAGTAGTAGTAGTAGGCTAGTAGTAGTAGTAGTAGTAGTAGTAGTAGTAGTAGTAGTAGTAGTAGTGGTAGTAGTAACAGTAGTAGTAGTGGTGGTGGTAGTGTTAGTGTTAGTGGTGGTAGTAGCAGTTGTACTAGTAGTGGTGGTGGTGGTGGTCATAGTAGTAAAAGTAGTAGTTGTAGTAGTAGTAGTAGTAGTAGTAGTAGTAATAGTAGTAGTAGTAATAATACAACAATAGCTTCAATATCACCATCATATGTATATTTACAGAAGAATACAATAGGAATACTAATGCATATTATCATTATTTTTTTTCCTTTCTATGTAGACTGTACACATTAACAATGTTGACCTAACGTACGTAGGTAATTATCATAAAGACATTATCAAACTTTGAATATTTGTTTTCATATGAATAATACAGGGAAATGCAACGGTTGGTGAATATTTCCTCCTCACCCGTCTTCTCCCAGTTTACTGAGTCGCTTGGAGGTTTAGCTACTATTCGTGCCTACAGGTAATTAAGAGGCTTTTTATTGTAAATAAGGGATTTTTTTTAAAGATTTCACCAGATGTTAATATAGGCAACACAATACATACGAAACTTTCATGTCATTGTATATTTAAAAAAAATTATGTTAAAACAAACATGCTTACTCGTCTAATGTGTTAAACTAGATGCTATTTCCTTCTCTTTCTCATTCCACTTCCCATATATAGTGCCATTCCCTTTTAATGTGTAAGGTGTAAATTGAGACGATTTTATATATATATTTTTGTACAGACTTCAGAAAAGATTCAGGCAAAATATCGTCGGTAAAATCGAGAAAAACCACGTGGCTTTCTGCTTTCTTCAAGATAGTAACCGATGGCTTGGGATCAGATTGGTATGTATCAATTCAGGGATCAAACTTTAATGATGTTGCTCATAATGCATTTGACCTTTGTGTAATCGTGGCGATAGATATATTTGAACTCCAACTTTCATTATGGTGCTCATAATGTATACTTTTGTGTAATTGTGGCGATGGATGTGACCGACGTACAAGTTTGAATTTGATATTTATTGACGGTAATAAAATGCATGTTATTAACTATAAAGATGCTCTACATGAATTCGTCATGAGTTTATAAGAACTTGAAAGAGGTGGCTCAAATACAAATGTTTCTTCTAAAGGTCGTAAATAATTTAAGCTAAAACGAGGGGGAAAGAATGATCTTTATAGCAACACAAAATTTGTTCTGTTCGTATTAACGTGCATGCGTTCGGGAAGGCAGAGAGCAATTTCAAGTAAATAACATTTAGTCTCGTGAATCACAGAATAATATAAGTTGTGTATTAAAAGTTTTACCAATTAAATCTGTATATATCCAATTAAAGAATATCTTGTGCAGAACACCTGAATGAAAAAGGATGTGTGTGTTAAACAATATAGCATCAAACTTGTATTTTGTGAGTTCTTTTTTCACTTTCCCCTCAAAAATTTCAGATTGAATTGAATGACGGTTATTGTCTTTGGCATGTATGATCCTGCTTTCATTGTTCTGAAAGTCTTGATATATAATTAATGATTGTACTGAAAGGAGGCTGCACTTTAGAAAATTGGAGGTAAATTATCTGATAATAATTACGGCATCATCTAAATGATTTGTTAGAAACGTTTTCCCTTTAACATGAATGTCTTATTAACATTATTATCATTATTATTTTGCTCTATTTGACAAAGAATTTGATAGGAACCCTGATTGTTCTAGGAGCCGGACTGACTAGTCTTCCTGCATCAACTCTTCATCCAGCTACTTTTGGCGCTAGTCTTGTTGGTTTGGCAATAACATATGCAGTACAGGTAAATACAAATTTAACATTTCGTTAACTTTTTCTGAGAACTTAATATCGCGTAGCCATGCAGGAGGAGGCTTAGTAACAATGTGATTAAGATCTCACAACGTAATTTTCACGAATTGATACGGTCGAAAAAAATAGGAGATGGTCATAATCAAAGGGAAATGAGAATAAAGTGAAAAAGAGAGAGAGAGGGGAGAGAAGAGGGGGAGAGAGAGAGAGAGAGAGAGAGACAGGGAGGGGGGAGAACCATTTATCAACTTCAAGAAAACTTGTAAATATTGAATCTCGGAAATTTGCAACATCAAAATGCAAACCAGTATTTAATCAGCTTTCCAGGATTACATGATAATTGATTCTCTTCCTTAGGCTGCAAATTCCATGACATGGGTTGTTCGTAATTCAACCAGTGTCGAGTTGGGCATGAATTCTGTAGAGAGGATCAAATACTATACCAAGGTAGAGAACGAGAAATATGAAGGTAACTCATCATGCGTAATTAAGTTTGGTCATGTAGGCTAATATCTTCCTTTAAGATATACCACAATATAACTAGTCAAGAATTTGTAACTTGAATGAGGTGATGTCTATTCTAATGTTTGTAATAAAGAACGCATTTTCACGATTTTCTTTCTTTTTCTTAATTAAAAAAATTGACCCTCCGGGAATGGAACCTGGGTCGCCAAGACCAATATACCACATAGACATTGGACGTAAACGAAAAATGCGATCTCAAATCACATCTTTTAGTCAAGATAAGGCCATGATCCCAACATCTGATTAAATAATAAATGTTACTTTCCGTGCTGAGAATTTTCTCAGCTACAACAAATCCGAAGCTGGAAGAAAATCGAGCGAATTTTTTTTTGGAGATTTTGCTCAAACAAGACTGGAATGTAGAATTTCAGAAAAAGTCACCTCATATAAAGAATACACGCAAAATTGGGAAAATTGACATGCCTCCATTAATCGAAAGAATGGGCGCTGATGCCATTGTTAAAATGAGAAATAAATGTCACCTGCTGCGTACAGAATCGTATCAGGGATTGGGAGAGATATGATCAAAATTTACAGAGATACACTTAATTTCCTATAAATATGCTGACGTCATAATATGCAAATTCGTATTTGAGTTTCGTGGCGATTATAATGACGTCACGATGTACTTAATGGCCAAATAAGACATGAAATCATATCTCCGACTCATACTCTATCCAAATATGAAGAAAAAAATGAGGGTCCCAGAGCACCCTAAAGAGCTCTAATGGATTTTTGATAGGCATGTTTTTGCCCATATATGCTATGTATTACAAGAGCTCACGCGCACGGACATTTATCTTCGGAACGGACGCTCATTCCGTTATGAATGATCATAAAGAGATAAACATGGGTTCAAATGGTTCAGAAGGGTATGTAAACTACCATGAAAGAAAAAAACAATGGTGATTCTATGTTGCGTGCAGCCATGATGTACGAAAACTCGAGCGTGGTCGTGTACAAAATGAATGAAATGGAATTTGAGATGATTCTGAAGAATTTTTTAATTTTGCGCAAGAACTGATGCACGGACGTACGCGTACGCACGCGTCTTACTATTTGAAATTGACCGGACGGATATTGACCTTAATCATGATAAAAATGAATGATAAAGGACATTCCGTTGAAAAAAAATATTAACAAAATTAAAAAAATTAAAAAAATGATCATGAGTTGATTTCCAAAAAAGTTCACAAAATGGCGCCTGGATGCCGTTACGATGATCTGGCGTCCCTGAAAAGTCACGCAGTTCTAAGTTGGACTAAGATCTATCATCATTGCAAGTTTCAATTGCTTTATCCCTTTCTTGAGATATCCTGCGAACAATTTATGGCAGAATAATAATAAATTATATATATATATATATATATTATATATATATATATAATATTATAATAAAAATCCTAACGAAATCAAAAGGTGATACGTATAATAAATAACTTAAAATCTTGACGAAATCAAAAGGTGATACGTATTATCTAATTATCGATTAATCTAAAACAGACTAGTGCCTGACAAACAATTACACAACGCTGATCAATGTGAAATGTTAATACGTTCATAAAAATTGTATCCATACATAATGATTCTAGATCTGACATTGTAGCTAGTGTGTAAATCTGGAATGAATATTCACCGGTTCAAAGACATAAACTTTGTAAAAGTGTGTAAACTGTCTTAATCTGATTTGATGATACACAAAGTTTGAACCAAAGTGTTATTCTTTTCATTCCAAACTCAGCTTCTGCCATATCCCTGAGAAAGCTTGTAATGAATTGTGTTTAAAAACAAAAAGATGGTGTAAGTGTATACAAGCGCACATGATAGGAAGACTTGTTGACAAGTTTTTGGATCAGCAAACTTTATCATTGATTTATTTTAAAACAGGGTCTGTGACTCCAAGCCGTAATTGGCCAGAGATGGGCCATGTAATATACAATCGAGTACATGCTAGGTATGCGGCTACCCTACCTGCTATCCTTCATTATGTTAGCATTGATTTCAAACCAGGCATGAAGGTAATCTATTCTATATCCATCCCATCATTCTTGTATTCTATTAAATTTCATCTCCACAGCAAAACTCATTCATTGGTGTATAATATCGATGACAATATCCAATTAGGTGAATGTCGAAATCACTTTTGATGAATGCCATTTCTGAAATCAGGAGTAATACAAGAGTGAAATAATATTTTGGTAGATGATATCCGTAATTTAAAATGCCTGACCTCTAAAGAGTGACCAAAGTTATATTTAATTTATTTGGAAAATAAGACATCCTCTCTTCCAATTATATTTCGTCTGAAATGGTCAAATTAGCACCTTTTATTACTCTTACTGTTATTCTAGAAAAAATAAAGCGCTTCAAATTTTAAGAAGTTATATTCAGAATATCTTATGTGATTTATATATATTTCATATGATTTGTATTAGACGAAACCAGGCTCCAATTATTTGATGTAGATTAATCATTTTCTAACTCCATAGGTTGCTGGGTGGTATGATAAATCAGTTTGTCTGACCAAAAATGATAATTTGACTTTGACAATTCTTGTAACTTTCCTTTTGATAGGCGAATTCTTACAATATTTGCGAGATCTAATTCTCTTTGTTCATAAAATATACCAAGTATTGGCATTTATCACTTACTTGTATAGGTTGGTATTTGTGGCCGAACAGGGAGTGGGAAGTCTTCGCTGACACTGACACTTTTCCGCATCATCGATACATTTAAAGGTATGTTCCCTATATAGTCTTATATTAATAAAGAATGAGCGAAGTAATAGAAAAACATATAAATAATGTGACTGTGACCCATAAAATGACGCTCTCGTTCTTCTTAAAACGTTTATATTTCACATTTGTTTACATTATCCTTTATAGGCATATCTAAAACATCAATGGTGTACTCAATTGTTATCGCCTGATTGATGCATTTGATATCAACCAGTAAATATGCCCACATGAATGTACACGTTATATGATAGACCTACTACGAAGTAGGTCCATGCAGGGGCGTCGCTAAAAGGAGAGGGGTGTCGGGGTGCGACATCCCCCTCCCACCTATCAGGATTTTGTCAGTTAACGTGCGCTTCCCGTCGGAAAATGAGAAAGGGCAGAGGAAATAAATAAGAGGGAAAGAAAAAAGAAACGAAAAAAGGGAAAGGAAAAGAAAGAAAAAAAGGAAAAGGAAAGGAAAGAAAGAGAAAAGAAGAAAGAAAGAGAAAAAAACATCCCCCACTGAAAAAGGTCTATATATAGCGATGCACCTGGGTGGCTGGGTGCCTGAGTCCATGGTTATATCCAAAAACCAAGATCAAATAGCCGTGGTAATGTTTAGTGTTGAAATTTCTCCGTTATCTGTATTTGTAGCCTGCAGGTTGAGGACGGTAAATTGAATAATCATGACTGTGACGATTTACCAAAACATCTATGAGTGTATTTTGAGGATGTTGATGTTTGTCCTCATATTCCATTTTGAACCAGCTCTGAGGATGTGCTCTGAGGATTTGCTTAATATTTGATATTTTGCAGAATTGCATTACTCTCCATGTTATTGTGTTTGTAAATAGACGCTTTGCTGATCACTATAGAGGAGATGGTTTATCCTAAACTTTACAGGAAACCATAGTATATCCAGAAGTAGTAAACGCTTCCCATAGCTTTGGATAACAAAACTTGTTTGCAGTCCCATCTATTCAGTCTGTTGTGTACAACCATGAACTTAATAGAACCATGCATCGAAATCTCAGAATGCATAACAACAAGAAGAAAAATATGCCAGGAAAATTTCTACCTACACCACAAGGCCAGGAGCCATCAAAGAGGCAGCCTTTTATTGCCCATTTGGGCATTGACGAGGCGGTACAAGAAGCGAGGGGCATGACAGCTGATCTGGGGGCAGCATCAACACACAGCTCAATCATGGGCTGTCTGATCTGAGCAGCTAAGCGAGAGTATGGCTGGAGACAGTCAAATCTCACAAATCATTTCCAAGGCCGTGGATGCAGCTATCAAAGCTGCATTGCCACAGATCATTAATGCTGTGAAGGAGGCATGTTTCTCTACTATTAAAGCAAATCTGAACCCTCATCTCCTGCGAATCCAATTCAAGCAGGATGAGATGCAGCAAGAGATGAGGAGGGATAACCTCCGCCTAACTGGTCTGCCAGAATCTCAGGAGGAGGAGACTGAGGATCAGCTGATCAACAGTGTGAAAGCAGTTGCAAAGGAGGCTGGAGTGGATATCCGTTCGGAGGACATTTCAGCGTGCCATCGCCTTGGAAAAAAGAGAGAAGGAGGAAAGAGCAGGCAAACCGTTGTGCGATTTCAATCTAAAAGGAAAGGAGACAATGAAAGGTGTATTTATAAATGAAGACCTGAGTGCAATGTGCCATGCACTACTGATGAGGGCGAAGGTTGCACCAAATGTAAAATCCGCCACAAGCAGGTATGGGAACATTTCCTGCAAAATGAGCAATGGAGAGAGCAAGGTTGTCAAGAGCCCAGATGATCTTTTTGATCTGGGTCTGGATGACATTGACTACGGAGACTTCAAGCTCCACTTCCTAGCCTAGGCTAAATATACTCTTTATACATTTAAACTGAGTTCTTTATTATATTTTAATAATGATAGATATAATAATGATGAAGAATATACATTTGATGTATCCTCATACAATACTAGTCCAAGTGACTTTGACGGTACATTGCAAAATGTATTTGAAAATTCATTTAGTATCACTCATGTAAATATTAGATCATTAAATAAAAACATTAATGAATTGCACCTACTGTATGATCATTCTATAAAGCACAAATTTGATATTATTGCCCTTTCAGAAGTTTGGAATGTTACTAGTGTAGACACATTCCCATTAACAGATTATGTTTTGGAGGTTAACTGCCGCCAGGGGAATGAGAGAGGAGGTGGAGTAGGAGCATACATTCACAAACAAGTGAATTATGAAATACTTGATTTTAACATTGCTCATGCAGAAAGCTTGTGGTTAAAAGTGTCTAAGAATAATATTGATAACTTTGTGATAGGTGTGATTTATAGGAAACCAAATACGAACATTGATGATTTCTAAATGGCTTACTTGGTGTATTAGAAAATATAAATATTGGTAGAGCAAATGTAGTTTTAATAGGTGATTACAATATTGATCTTTTACTAACAGGTACGCCAAAGATATCTGATTTTTTGAGCGCAATAGAATCTACAGGAATGCAACAGATAATTTCGTCGCCAACCATGATGACAAATTTGACTTCGTCTCTCATTGATCATGTGTATACTAATGTGCATAATTACGCCATTCATTCAGGCGTTATTGAAACTGATGTTTCGGATCATTTTCCAATTTTTGTGATTTTTAAAGGTCAAAATGGTTCAGGAAAGAGCTCTTATGTGAAGAAGGTTACTCGATCATATAGAAAGTACAACGTCTGTCTATTTCAAGAAGATCTGTCAAAACTGAATTGGCAGTATATATATAGATATGGAAATGTGAATGTAGCTTATGAGAATTTTTATGATATGTTTGTAAATGCATGTGATAAACATGCACCTAATGTGACATTCAGCAGTTCAAAGAAAATATCTACACCAAAAAAGCCTTGGATATCAACAGGTATTGTAAAATCTATCAGGAAGAAGCATAGTCTGTATAAAAAATATAGGTCATCAAATTTTAATGAAGAGTATGGAAATGAATACAAGAAATATAGAAATATGTTAGTAACTATTATAAAGAATGCTAAAAGAATGTATTATAGTGAGTCCTTTAGCGAAAATAGAAATAATATGAGGAAGACCTGGGGAATTATTAAAGAGTTAATTAGTAGAAATGATAAAAATAAGAAAACAAAGATTGAACAGTTACTTATTTGTGATGAGGGAACAAATAAAGTTGTGTCTTCAGATGAGGGCATAGCTAATGAACTTAATAATTATTTTGTTTCTATTGGATCAACATTAGCAAAGAAGATTCCAACTGTTAATCTTAATTTCGAAAACTATTTAGCTAGAAGAAATGAAAAATCCTTCTTTTGGAAACCCATAAAAGAAACAGAATTTTTTGATAATCTAAATGCTCTCGATGCTAAGAAATCCCATGGATATGACAAATTGCCAGTAAGATTATTATTAGGATGCGATACCCTATATTGTTGCGCCACTGACGTACATATTCAATTTGTCATTAGAAAGGGAGAGTTCCCAGATGCATTGAAGACGGCAAAAGTGACTCCTTTATACAAAAAGGACCAAAGACCGACCCTGGAAATTACAGGCCCATTTCTGTTCTACCAGTCATTGCAAAGGTCTTTGAGAAATTAGCTAATGGTCGTCTAATGAATTTCTTAGAATCTAACAAGATTTTGTATGAACATCAGTACGGTTTTCGCAAGCGATATAGTACAAAGTTATCATTAATAAATCTTGAAGATACACTTACAAAATCAATGGATAAAGGTAAACCAACGCTAGGTATTTTTATAGATTTTAAGAAAGCATTCGATACTATTGATCACGAAATCCTATAAGGAAAGTTAAAAAATTATAGTATTGCAATGGTTTCAAAGTTACCTTTCAAATCGATCGCAAGTCTTATGCTACAAGGAAATAATATCAAGTAGGAGAAGGATAACATATGGTGTCCCTCAAGGTTCAGTCCTCGGGCCCACTTTGTTTTTATTATATATTAATGATTTACCATCTTTACTAATTATTTTGAATTTAGATTATTTGCTGATGATTCAAACCTATTTCATACTTTTGATAAAAGACAGAAGGAAATAGATATGAATGAATAAATGTCAAAATTTTGGAAGTCCAAAAATGGTGTTTTGTTAACAAGTTCACAATAAACTTAAAGAAAACAAATTATATGCTCATTAAGGGACAATTGCAATCATGTGAAATTAGGGGTATTTTAAAACTCAGTGATACAGTGATAGATAGAGTCAGTGTAGCATCTTTCGTAGGAATTCAAATTGATGAAACTTTGATGTGAAAAAGAGCAAATTCAGAACGTTGATAAGTGTATACGGAGGAAGATTGGACTGCTGTGTAAGTTGAGGTACTATGTGCCTAAGCACATTCTCATGCTCTTGTATAAATCCTTTATCCAGCCGCACATACTTTATGGTATTGAAGTTTGGGGAAGTTGCTATAAAAGTCATTTAAATTGCATACTATTGGCACAGAAAATGGCCATGCGTGTGATAACATTTTCCCCATTTATAACAAGTTCAAAGGCACTGTTCGTAGTCTACAGGTATTAGATGTGCATAATCTGTTCGAGCATTCAGTATCGACATTTGAATATGATCTGCAGAAAGGACATCTACCACATTCGTTCATGGATTACTTTGTTTTAATGAATCACATGTATAGAACAAGAGGGAGAGAACATTTAATGCTACGATTACCTAAATTTAGTAAGACACGTGGGACTTTTTCAATTTCTTTCATTGGAGCAAAGCTGTGGAATAATTTGCCCATAAATATCAGAGAAGAAAAAACAAGATCATCATTTCGTCAAAATCTCAGAATTAAACTCCTAAGCAGAGATGAATTATAAGGATCAAATAATATGATATTAAGACAAAATAAGTGTTAATATGACTTTGCATACAGTTTTAGAAACTCGGAGAACCAATCCCGACTAGCACTCGTGCTAACTTTTGGTTCTCCCTTTAACAACATTTTAAGTTTTTAAGTTTAGAAATATCCTTTATTTGAATCACTTATACGTTATTGGAACTCTGTGAATTTCAATTCCAGCCACAAATCTCTACGTATTATTAAGTTATAGCTAATTCACAGGTTTTGATATGACATGATATATGATTAACTTAATTTTGTATGGTTCAACTATGGATATTTTCTTTTTCTTTGAAACCCATGTACATGGATATGTATACGACATGTTATTTTTGTTACCCACTTGAATACATTGTGTAACATTGTGTTATGTTGTTTTTGTTGTTAATAAATTCAAATTCAAAAAGAAGAAAAAAATTATATGTTGATTATGATGTTTATTAATCTCCAGGATCTATTCACATCGATGGGATCGATATCGGGAAGCTGTCTCTCGTCGATTTGCGAAGTCGTCTTGCCATCATACCTCAAGACCCTTTCATGTTCACAGGAACAGTTAGGTCAGTTGATATATTCACAGATCAAATTTCGTAGTCAGTATAACATATCTCTTTGTAGACAAAAATCAGGTTTGACAATCATGTATCAATATCATATATTAAAGTTTCATTTTAACTTCACTTTCTGGTCATGTCATCATAATAAAATGGATTCTCCACTCACATCCACGAGACCAATACCAGACCAACAGATAACCGAAACAATAACATGTTATCCGGAATGGCTAAGAATCAGTCGGTTTGGAGTCGGTTTGGAGTCGGTTTGTTAGTGTGACTGAGATATAAGTAGCTCGTTATTCAGTTGCACTTTTCCACAATGTACCAAGTATTATACCGTGGCGCACTCCATGGCCTGCAATGGTATTCATCAGAATTAAAAACTCGATTCAATAATCATCCCACCACCAAAAAAAAATGAATTCCTGAAGTTCCATCCATTCTTACGGCCTTTATTCTCTTGATCATTCTTCTATCTGACTAATGAAGATTCAACTTGGACCCTGAGGAAAGGCGATCAGATGCTGAGATATGGGAAGCATTGGAAGTTGCCCAACTCAAGGAGCTTGTGAGAGATCTTCCAAACAATCTCGGTAGGTTCATTTTCTTCTTACAAAATTATAAATGATCAAGGTGCATTAACTTTAATTCGATTTGAAAAGTATCAAAAATGAAATAAAAAACCAACATTTCCTCTGTACACAGGAAGTGATTTGAAATTATGAGCTACATTTTATGAAACATGGCTTTTATGAAAGGATGTCTACAATAGTTTGCATGTGATTATTTTGCTACAACTAACATGTTTTTTTATTTTGCCTTTTGCTAAACTGGGAATTCAAATCTCTAGACTCGATGGTACACGAAGGAGGAGATAACTTCAGTGTGGGTGAAAGACAACTCTTCTGCCTTGCTCGGGCTATACTAAAAAAACTCGCATTTTGATAATGGATGAAGCAACGGCCTCCATTGATGTCCACACGGTAAATTTATTTGTTTTATTAATTCCCCGCAGTCCACTTTTACGTTTTCTTGATGTTGCCATCGTTATGACTTTCCATTAGACATTATTTTTCTCTTTCTTTTTTAATCAACTTATCTTGCTAACCTTAATGATTTCCTTCGTGTTAAACATTTTCTATATTCCAAAGGGATAATGTTCTATGAAAAGGCATTACATCTTTATTTACGTTATAAGTGCCTATTCTTCAATCCATTTAATATATGTTGTGTTTTGCTTTGACAGTAGAAACAATTCAATGTTTATTCCATATTTATTCACAGGATGCTATTCTACAGGAAGTCGTCGCAACTGCTTTCCATAAGGAAACCGTCATCACGATTGCGGTAAGTTTTTAAAAATCAAAAGATCTGTAACACAAGTATCATTATTCAACGATATTCGTCGACGATCATAATGAATTAATTTGAGACTTTTATTCTAAAACCTGTTCTATAACATTACTCATCGGTTTATAATTTAAATAACATATCTATGTACATCATCAATAAATGGACTCCCAATTGGTGACGTCTCACCTTTAGTGACAAAGAAAGAAATTTTAATAGAAGAAGAGAAAGATGAAGAAAAGGACAAAAAGAAGAAGAAGAAGATGTAGTAAGAAAAAAAGAAAAAGATTAAGGAGAAAAAGAAGAAGAAGGAGGAGAAGGAAAAGGAGGAGGAGGAGAAGATGGAGTAGAAGAAGAAGGAGAGGAAGAAGCTGAAGAAGAAGAAGCTGAAGAAGAAGAGGGGGAAGAAGAAGGAGGAGGAGGAGAAGAATACGAAAATGAAGAGAAAAAGAAAAAGATAAAGAAAATTAGGAGAAGTATGGGGTAGCTGGAAGGAGAAGAAAAAAAATATACAGAAAAGAAAGGGGAAAAAAGAACAGTATAGGGTAGAAATGTTTTTTTTTTAAAATCTTTAACGTCTACTTTGTTATTCAATGTACGTTAACCAGGTTATATGTCTCTTTTGTAAATTGTATAACAGCATCGTGTGTCAACTATCCTGGATTCAGATCAGATTGTTGTACTCTCCGAAGGACACGTCGCAGAGGTGGGAACACCAGGATCTCTGCTGAAGAAAAAAACTAGTATCTTCGCTTCTCTTGTCAGGAATAAGCTTTAACTAAACAAAGTTTCCATCAGCTTGATTACGATTATGTCACTTCCAATTGTTCACATTATTGGAATTTAAGAATGTCATTTTTAACAGTGCAATCGGATATGCATGGTGTTGAAATGATTTTTTTTTGTTTTTTAATATTTCATGCGGCTGTGGTCGGGTGAGAACAAGTGGTAAATAAAAAGGGCTGTTGGTATATTAATCAATATATTTTAGATTTAAAGAGCGCACTCGTTGTGGGCACAAGCACAATTTAAGTGTTAAAGATACTATGTCCCTTTTGCAGGCAGCCAACATCAAATTCTGTAGAACTTTGCAAGACTTATGAATATGTCATGTATGTCCTATCTGTGAAATTTAAACGTTAGCAGTGTCCTAATATTCAAATTATGCAAGGAAATCCGTTAACTTGCTAGACTTCACTGTCAGACACTAACTGATTGAATCTTTGCGCAGCATAAAACGTACGACTATTCAGTACAATGGTCTGAAAATCAGAAATTACTTACTGGCTCTATAGCTCTTAAGTCGATTCGACAACTAATAGTCGCTATTTTCCCACTTAAAGACATTTTCAAGCCCCCCCCCCCTTTTTTTTTTAAGGGAAGTTCCAAATTAGTATTTTCTTTCAAATGCCGTTGGAATTTAACCTTTCCACTTTGTTGGCCTGCAAATGGGACATAGTACCTTTAAAGGTCTTGTGAATGTGGTATCTTTATATTACCTCCTTTGATTTAATGTATGTGGCCAAACAAAATGATGTAAATGTTACGAGGTTCTCGCGTTTTCTTATATGATGAATGAAGAGCCCTTCTATTATGATGTATCTAATTGGGTTTATAACTCATTCATCTATGAGCATAATGTTTCCTTTATGGCGCTCATAATTCGGCGCCCCTATATAACCTGGATTTGTTAAAGCTATACAGACTGCAATGCATTAGGAATTTCTTCTGACAAGGTAACCATGTACTTTTGATAGGATGATGAAAGCTTTTGTGATAGTAATTACTTTAATTATGCCGTCACGGTGACCCTTATTGTTGGAATACTCCTCAGGGAATGAAGATGATGCAGATTGTGTGTATGAATGGATCCGATGACCTAGAAAATAATAGCATCTGTAAAGCGCTTACGGAGACAATTTTTCGGATTAAGCGGTGTATGAATCCAGGTTTATTATTATTATTATTATTATCAGTATTGTACTTCACCTGGTTCGTGAGTAGAATGACATATTGAATGTATTAACTAAATAATTGTAATGCTCATGCCATTGGTGTAAGAAAATAATATGAAACGAATTTACAACGCATTTCAAATTCATGAGGAAATGAACAGATTGGGAAAAAGCGATAAATATGTTATATTAATTTAATTGTTATATGTGATGCAATAAATAATGTATGTTTCTATACAGTTTCTATATCATTATACAATGTCACACTTCAACAAAAATATTCATGTGTTTTAAATGTGTAGCTTAACATGGAAATATGCCATACATACCTGTATCATGATAGCCTTTCAAACTGTAAATCTATACAAACTGCATCGATGTGATTTATTTGTAATTAACATTTTCCAAAATTATTTCGTGTTTATTATGATAAAATTTACGATAACGTTCAACTTGTGAAGGGAATAAATATGAATGAATTACTATAAGACAAGTCAAGTATGCAATCTACGAACTGTTGAGGAGAGGAGACTAGCACTTTGTAGAAAATTCGCAAAATCCCTTTCAAATCACTCTATTTGCCAGACCTGGTTACCTCAGAAGAAAAAAACACTTATATATCTCTTCGCCGTATTCCCACTTATCAACAATTTCAAGTTCAAAAACAAAAAGGTCTAAAAAAAAATAGCCCACTGTCATAATTAGTTGATTTACTCAACAAAAGTTGACAAACTTGTTTTATTTTTTTTACTTTTATCGTTATTGCAGGTATACTCAGTGTTTGTCTCCTCCCCCAAGTCGGCTGTTTAAAATGTACCTATTTTAATCTGTTTACCATGTTTGTATTGACTTTTATGGGAAATTTGTTTTAGATAATAACAGCTCATGTTTTTGTTGTATTTCTGGAAACTTTTGCAATGTGTTTATGGTTTTTAGTTACAGAATTAAGTCCTTTTTTTATATTCCTAGTTTTTTAGTTATGTATCTTTAAAAGTGTTATATATTGTGCCTAACATGTGAACATGAATATTCCAGCCATGGCTGTCCTTGATGTAAAATTGTATTTGTATGAACCATGTTTGTGCTTTAATGAAAAACATTTTTTTAATGAATTGAATTTTAAAAAAATCTATGCCACCAATGCTTATTCGAAAAAAGTGAGTACAGATACAATTTATAGTACAATTATTTCTACCTCCTTGATTTTTTTTAAAACTAAAGAATGAAAGGTCGACTAGTTGAATGAGGGTTTTAATTGAATACTTTAATATGTAATTTATAATATGTCACATTCTCAAGAAACATAATCTGGACTAATCTATTTTTTCACATACCTACAAAATTAAAAAAGTTGGTAAGGGTATGAATAATATAGTTGTTAACGGTATATATCATAATGTCTTATTTAGTTTATCGCCGACCTCTCAAATACAAAGGAATAACTGCTCTCCTTAAAATGACGAGTAAGTTTGGGGGACATTTATCTCCACTGTGCCTATACAAAATGAATCCAGTCTTGAGCAATAGTTTCCTACTCACTTCACTCGCATTTGATATTATAGAAGAACTTATCATTAAGGAATATATATGGGACAAGGATGATTAAAACTTACAAATCACTTAATGTGTTGAGATTCTTCTTAGGTAACCACAACTTTTACTTAATGATTGTCAAACTGACATTCCAAATGGTAGCCAGTAAAACGTAAACGCATGAACATAGAATATTGTGTATTAAAAAGAAATTATACAAGCAAATATATTCAGTTTCTTTTTCATAAAAGATTCCCTTAAACTGGGTTCCGACAACATTATCTTTGATGATGATGCTCCTTTATTAAGTGGATCTTCTTGATCTTGGTCTATCTCTTTCCCTCTGATGTTGTTGAATTTGTTGAAACAAAGAAACGACGCACAAGATGCATGATAACTGAATCGATAAGGAGGAGGAAAGAGATAAATCATTAATCATTATGACCATGAAAAGCTATCTGTATCAACTGTATAAGTTTTTTTTTAAAGTAAATAGTCACTGGTGTCAATTTTCATTTTCATGTGTCAGCTGTCATCTGTTATTACGATGAAATGTGATAAGTTACAATGATGGACGGAAATTTGCTCAGAGCATTTTTTCATTGCGAAATAAAGAGTTATAACTGGGTTTACGTTAGTTTTATGGTTGAGGTTAGCAAATTGGGATTTGGGTTAGGGTGTTGAAGTTAAGGGTTTGGGCAGGAAGTATAGGAGTTTTTCTGAGGAGCAGTAATTGTAACCGCTTCATGTGTGTCAGTCGAGAAAAAATGTTTCCGGCCAATGCGAAACATCTTTGGATTTCAGTATGTTAAGATGAAAAATTCATATTATGTCTTGACAACAAAACAAGAAACGATCGGTTCCTAAGATACTTACATCAACCAGTGTAGATGTGATATGAAATGCTAGCGGCAGGACTAGCGATATCCCCATTATGGACATCTGAAGCTGTGTTAATTAAGCAAACAATACATATAGAATGACATTGTTTGATATCATATCAATGACAATTTTGACTGGAATTTGCTTTGGTCAAGTTTAGATCAAATTTGGAAAGTGTAAGAAGGAAAAATGGACGTAACCGAAAGTGAGGGGCGACGTGTTATCACCTTTATACCATATCAGGAATTTACTTATGTACCATATTGGTGCTCACGATTGAAAACTCCTACAAAGTTGTATCTGGAGTGACGAGCAACTGTATATTATTTTAACTTAATCTGTCGCAATTTAATGTTATGTTACTTTCCTCATGAATTTCCTGCCAATTTAGTTACGTACCTCCCTTTTTTTGGTGGAATTATATATATTCTAGAAATTTTTCTACAACAAAAAGATGATATGAAAGTGTTTGTGTTTCATTTTGATCCTTGATATCGTGGCGTAAGAAATACGACAATGTGCGGTATACTCACCATAGCGCCAAAAACCTCTACAATGGTGATAAAATGTAACACAACCAGACAACACAGGACAATCAAGAAGGGAAGTACTAGAAATCGGTACCGCTGGAATGGAAAAGAAGACACATTTTGAGTGAATTTACGCTATATATCTATAAAACATACAGACATGTATATTCATAAATAATGTAGAACATCATTAATCAAACATCAATCTTAGAAAATAATAAATTTAATAATTAGATATGCCTATGTTACTGGTGTTCTTTGTAATTAAATTATGTAGTGATGACATTTCTAACTATATTTTTCAGTCAGAGTGAACAAGCACATGACATTTTTTTTTTTTATGTCAATGTGTTGTTGAGATTTTGCGTATCTATACGTTATGATTGTCCTGGAATATCCGTTCAGTAAGAGTAATAATACTTACCCTACATGCAGCAAACACCAGCATGACTGATGCAATCAGGTATATGATGAAAAATATTAGAGCAAATATCCTGCCATAAAATTCCGTTTTGTCTTGGTCTTCGATTTCACTTATTATATCCCCTGTATGTAAATAGAAATTAAGTAATTAAGCACAGACAGTAAATGCAATGTAATTGAATACTCTGTATCTTCTCATGTCTAAATTAATGACATAAATGTCTAGAACTTTGAATTTGTGCAAAATAGTGCGATCATTGAAGACATCAATACATTTTCTCATTTTTACGATTTACCAAGACATTTCAGATGCAATAGATTTTCTTCCTTATGTTTTCTAGTAATTGGTCATTCATTCTTAAACATCACAAGTTTCTTTGCTTGTATTAAAAAACATATAGTTTCCTGTCTCATTTCTTTTAGATCCAATATAATTCCGCTTTGATTCACACATAATTATATATAATTATGCTGGGAATAATTCATTTAAAATAATTTATCTATCATACTGCATTATCATGACACATATATTAAATTTCGACCAAAATATTCAAGTGAACTTTTATTTCTATTTTGCATAGCTATGAACAATTCGTTTCCAAAGCTTTCTACTTCTATGAAAGTGTGTTTTACATTTTTAATGAATATGTACGTTTAACGATTTTAATAATACTCTATTCTATTTTGTTGATTCCATGAATATATCAAAGATGATATATATTGTGTGTCATAAGCTTTAGTAAGAATATTATATTATGCAATACATTCATTGTTAAACATGTTATTTTAAAGTTGTGAATATTTACCCAGTCACGGTATGGAATACTACAGACCATTCTCAAAGCACTTCAAACAATATATTTGTCGTAAGTAATTGTAAATGAATATCAAATAGGCCAATGGGGCACTGGGCCATTTCTAAACTTCTATCAAGGGTTGTTGTGTTCTTTGTTTGTATGTGGATTTAATGATTATTGTTTTATTTTTGTTTACATTTTTTTTATTTTACGGTAAAAGAATTGATGGTTTAGGATTATATGTATCATGGATCTTTTATTCCCATTAAAATCACGAGAGGGATAACTATTACGGTTGCCTCTATAAAGTCGTCTTTATTTAGTTTTTGTAATACATAAACTTACCTATTTTATAAAACTGCTTGACCACAAAATGTGGTTCTATTTTGCCTCTGAGATCTGCAGGAATGTAACATACAAGTAAAGGAAAAGAAACAATTCAAATCGTTTACATATTTAAAAAGACACATATTTTATGACAAGACAAGGAATTTTTTGCTCTGTTACCCAACGATTTCTGTAGGAGCTACTGCACATTACCCCTCTACTGTCGCATATCAAAGTTTGTTTATTTTGAATTGAATTGAATTTATCAAACCATATACATGTACATGCAAAAGCAAAATATACAATTGAAAATAGAATACATAAAACCAGGGGCGCCGATAATAATGGTAATAATAATTTTACACTTATATTGCGCACAACTCTGCCGCAAAATAGGCACCCTTGGCGCACAGATCTACAAATCATACAAATTACAAGAATTTGGTCACTAATCAAAATTCAACAGAACTGAGATATTACAAAATTAAAAGGCGACAAATGGTCAACATAATCTACAGATATACTACTAACTCAGATAATAATCCTAACATTAACAGTACGCCCTATTCATCAACAAGGTCTTTAACTTTTATTGAAAGGTTATAATTTATTAGCTCAACTTCATATCCAAGGGTAGGATAGGGAAGCAAATTGCATATAAATAGGGCCCCCACAAAAAACAAATTAAATTAAATATATTTCAGTCACCATACCCCTACATGCGCACATAATAAACTACTACATACACACATACCGAAACGAAATACTGTATTGTTACAAATTCTAAAGTATTTGCGACAAAGGCATTTTTAATACAGGATAAAGTTGCACTTAATTTTATCCACGCCAGCTATTTTGATTTAATCCAACCTTACCAGAAAAAGATAAATTTTTGGTGTCATTCGATAGACAATTCATTAATATTGATAAAAGGTCTGTATTTTGGGGGAATAGTTCAGCAATTCAAGTTCATAACATATTATTAAATTGAAAATAAATACGTGAATTGATGATTAACGTCACTGTTATGTCACCACGTCATTAAAACTTATCATCATTAAAACTTATCATCATTAAAACTTACCCCATACAGAATAGGCCTTAAACAGCAGGGCTGTGTGTGCTATGATGATGATGGAGTAGAGCTGTATTAAATGTGAAAATAGCAAATTCCATCAGGTCATTCATTTTAAAGAATACACAAATATGATTACATAAGAATAGCAGGTATTACTACAGTTCTCATTTGTAAGCCAGCGAATTTTGATAAATTCTAACATTAATTTTGTTTTCTTTTTATTCATCCCCCCTTCACATTTGGGACAGTGTGAAATATCTGTTTTTGTTTATTCTACCAACTAGCTTTACCCTATTGTCAATCGACTTATCAGATCATCATGATGATATTATTTGAGTGACCAGTCAATGACCAAGCAATGAGCAATATTTTCCTGGGAGACACTCACAATTATATGTCACTTTTAATCAAGTCTGGTGCATTTTACCATGGACCTACTACGAAGTAGGTCAATGATTTGACGAAACACGTCTATATATAGCTCTTATAGCAGCGTTACGTCCGAACAGTTTGAATGACAATGAGGGACTGGTGGGAGATATGAAACATTATGATTAGGTAATATTACGTTTAAAGTGATGGTATGAAATATAAATATTTAAAGGTAGAAAATATCAATATCCACGGCATAATCCACCCCTTTTTTATGAAAAACATAAGTTTGGAATTTTTTTATTTTTTATTATTAATCTAGAGGATTTTTTTTCTTGTGGAGTTTCCCCAATAATGTGGTATGTATTTTCAATGTTTATAGATGAATTTAATATTTTGTTGATACACTTTGATACAGAAAAGATGTTCTTGTAGCAATCAAATGATACTTTTACGAAATTAAGTAGTCTCTTTTACCAAACATTCTCTCGTTTCTCTGTATTGAAATTTATCGATAGTCTTGTCAGTTGAAAATATGAATACGGCAAAGACAAGGTAACTTTTGGTTTTGACATGAAGTCCTCATACGATAGCACATGACAAAAGCAATTGTGTTGAACAAAATTCACCATCAAACTTAAACCGGAGCAGAAAGAATACCTATATATCTATATCCCTCATCGGCCTTAGGGCTGGATGTATCATAGCATGCATACGATATTACATCGCCTATTAAAGGTACTATGTCCCATTGGCAGGCCCAAGAAATGAAAAGGTTAAATTCCAACGGCATTTGAAAGACGATACTATAAATTTAGAACTTCCCTTTAAACGAAAGGGCTTGAAAATGGCTTTTAGTGGGTAAATAACGACCATTAGTTGTCGAATCGACTCAAGTGATTGCAATTGCCTAAGTAATAGTCTGATTTTCAGACCCTTTCAATTTTGGCCGTTACAGGTAATGGGTTATTGATGTAGACAAATGCTGATGTACCTGTTACAGTTTATGTTATGTATGTTGTTACCAAACAAAAAAAATATGTTAATCAGTCACTCAATAGTGTCTGACAGTAAAGTCTAGAAGGTAAACGGGTTTCCTTGTATAATTTGAATACTAGGATACTACTAATGTTTAAATTTCACAGATAGGACATACATGACATATTTATAATTCCTGCAAAGTTCTACAGAATTTGATGTTGGCTACAAAAGGGACATAGCTTCTTTAAAGGATAGCAGGAGTTTGTTGTGTTTTTTTTTGGGGGGGGGTTATTGGATATTGATCCTACAAATTAGGTAATTAACCCCTCACAAATAATCATAAATATATATTTTAAACATTAATAAACGTACTAACATATTACAAGCATTTTTGATAATCATAATATGCTTGTTATGCTAAACGCTGTTTTATTTTTTATTTCGGCCTACATACCGGTAACATTTGATGCCGTAATGTTTCCATTTCTACAGAACATTGCTCTGATAATTGTGTTTGATAAGATCCCAATAAAATGTACATGTTTGATGTGCACCAGCATCTTTCGTATGGTTTTATTTGCCACTTTGGGAACTGTTTCAGTAGTTCCCTTTTGCGATATATATGCTTTCAACACACTAACACTATATACATGTACAACCTTTGTAATAAATCAACATCTGTAAAACATCGGATGATGCTCGTAATCATTTCACTTGTCATCGCTTGAGGCATCCCTGACAGGATGACACGATGAGATTTCGTTTAACTATCAGCTAGTGAATAGCTAAATGCCAATCTATTATACACACTTTGTTTTGAATAGTCGGATTAGATGATGTCATCTCGAAAACCGAATGGTTAAGTCACTGATCATGAGCAACCGAATTGTTATTATAAGACGAGGCACTAATTAAATACCAAACTTAAGCAGTGGTATAGTCAAATGGTGGGCAGGTCAACCTTAAAGATATATATAGCAGAAAGGAAATCGTATGTACAGCAAGGTAGTGATATGCATGTTTATTATACTTTTTGTTCGAGGAAATATTTACTTCACACACAAGAATGTATATGAAAGGGGTTGCGTGCCCCCCCCCCCCCCCCCCCCCCCATCGAAAAAAAGGTGAGAAAGGAGGGAAAAGGGACAGAGATAAAGAGCAGAGAATGGAAAAGAAACGTCAAAATGAGAAAATAATAGGATGCCTCTATTACACTATCTTCCTGGTCGATGTCCTTGTTTAGTAGCATTTCATCCGTCTGGTATTTGTAGCCCCCCCCCCCCCTCCAATAATGAAGGTACCCCTAAGCGGCTAGACGTATCTTATTTGTATGATTCTATGATTTTATTTCTGCGTTCACTAACGCAATATAAAATAAAAAATATTACAGAAAAATATATAAACACAGCTTCAGATATTAATAAATTCCTTTTAAAAACATGAATAAAATACACTTTTCGCAAATTAACATTTTACAATTAACAGAAAATGTAAACGTGGGAGATCTCCATCATGAGCGATGGCGTATGCTACGCCATCGCCTTTAGGATCATTCTGATGACACAAAAAAGTAATATCTTTCATCTCACTCTCGCGTATTGTATCCAGATTTTGGCTTTAGGGAGGGAGGTGGGGGAGGGGGGACAGGGTATCCGGGATCATTGCACTATTGGTGTAATGTAAAAGAAAAACAAAATACATTGTACAACATTAAAATGTCATTATCAGCATAAAGTCATGAAATTTGGCAATGATTTAAAGCGAGCGAAACGAGAAAATTATTTTGTTTTCTGGTGAATTATGATCCACGCATCTGCTATTGGCTCAATATTTTTAAAATTAATTTTTTAAAACTTAACAAGATCTTTTTTCAGTGTGTATATATACAAACGCTATTGGGTCAAATTTAAGACAAATATTGTTAATTTAGTTTCCTTTGTATATTTACCAAACAAGGTGAAATTGCCATACACTGTATATTACATTTTGTTGTTGACCGCATTGTCTAGAAGTCCTCCTGATTTTATTTATTTCATTTCAAACCAGCAAATAAAAAAAATAAAAAAGATGTGGCTGCCCGTGAAAGGAAAAGGGAGAGGACAATAAACTAAGAATTGATTTTATTTGGCCTAAAGAAAAAAGGAAAGAAACAAAATATGTATCATAGTTTGTGTACAAAACTATTATCATCTATCAGGAAGACCTGAGCCCCGCCTTATAAAGATTTTCGATTGATCCAAATCAATCGCAAGTTTGCAGTCTCCTATCACTTATTACCTTTTAATAAATGAACACCTTAAACCTTACTCCCTGAATTACCCTTAAATAGATCTGACCCATTTATGATGTTGATGAAATTTGATTTAGAGAGAAAGATATGAAACACGATTGACACAATATCAAAGGAGCATACAACCAGGATTACAAATATCATATTTTAATATTTTCAAACTTGTTATGAGTAGTTTCTGAAAACCAATATTTGATGAGAACAAATGTTTTTAAAGATTTGATGATAACAATATAGACTCACGATTCCGTAGATTCCTGTCATTATAGATCCCCTCCTAACGCTACAACAGCAACATTGTTTGATGATTGCCATGGTAACTCCTCCGGTATCTGATGGTCCTCTGTCTCGAGCAAAAACCGGTATGGATCAGAGATATACCGAGAGTGGCATTAATGAGTGCGCGCTAACAAAATCCGATATAGAACCTCTGAAAATTGCTTGCTAGATGATGGATATGCACTTGAGAAATTAAACTCCAGATGCTAAATTCTGAAATAAATTAGATATATAGCTTAGTTTCTGATTTACAAAGTTTGGAAATAGCGCAACGAACTAAGAGAAAAATGTCGACCATCACTCGTAAAGTTAAGAAAATTTGTTGTAAGCAAACTAAGTGGCTCAGGAGACTTTTAAACAAAAATCTAATGACTGTTGCACAACTGGTTTATATACACGTCTACCAACACTTCATAAAGTGAGTTTGGAATGTTTGTAATGAGTTGGACAAGAGAGATAAACCAGGTATAGGTATGTAGCATTTGAGACAGATTGAAGCAGGCGAGTGGATAATGACTCTTGCATTGGGGCATTGATTTTCGATCATTGCGCGTACCACCAGGCTGACAGAATGAATTAACAGAATAATGCGACGAAGGTTTCAGCTAAGGCCTATATCGTTTTACAAGAAATGCATTTTAAAGGGGGATTTAAAAAGCCCAATCTATATCAGTGGTTATAATATAGAATAATTACATTTCGTTCAATTCTATGAAAACAAAATTGGGGATTTTTTTGTGAAAATTGTGTGAAGAATTAATGAAAGAAATTCTGGAATTCTATGTCTTTAAATGATCTCATTTTTTTATTAAAATCATCCCTTTGGGCCACTATACTCCAGCTTTATACTCTTTTTATCATTTTAAAGAAGAATAAATACAAGAAAAAGGAACAGAGTCCTATTACAAATACTTGTTGAAATTGTACTTGACTTAATACAATGGCTACATTTATATTGCGCACGTATCCATCCCAGTGGATGCTCAAGGGCCGGGCCTACAATGTAGTATATTACCTTGGATTTGGCCTTGCTGCCCTATAATGCGCTAAAAAGAAAATTAAAAGAATTATTTCCTATACCAAATACCCATTTACTAAACCTGGGCGGAGAGTGTCAAATGCAGATTAATGTCTTGGCAAATGACATTAGTTGCCGCGGCGGGACTCGAACCGCGAACTATGCGACCCCGAGTTCGATGACGTATCAACTAGACCACGACACATTCGTTTGTATTCCTTTACAGGTCTCATCTATTGGGTATATAATAATTTAGCTACTATATAGTTTTCATAAAGCTGGGTAAAATCAAAATAATTTTTTTTCCTGGTTTTATCCCGGCCCACCACTATCTGTAAGACTTCTTTGGGCCCCAGATTATACACATGACTCTCGAATTAGCATCCATAGATGGTTTCGCTACTTTCTCGAAGCCTCGTGAAGCCGAGGACGGCGAGGGGATGGAGTAGCTTTGCTTACCAAGCATGAATTCAAACCTCACCTTTTAACTAATATAATTGTACCAGAAAATATACAAGCGAGTCGGGTTATGTTAAGACCCCCACACTTACTAAGGCAAATTTCCATTTCCAGTATCCATTTCTGTGTAATCTATTTTCTACGAAAAGTCCTATTAGCGCAAAGTATGTTAATCATAATGACGATTGATTCTTTATTTGTAAACAAAAATACCCTGATGCTGCGTATGCATGTTTACTTGGTAATTTTAGTGATTTCAATTTTCAAGAAATTTCAAACAATGCAGGTTCAAACGAGTAGTAGATACACCCACAAGCAGGGGCCGCGATCCCGGGAGACGGGGGGACACGTCCCCCCCCCCCCCTTCCCCCTCATTTTTTTCGTCCCCCCCCCCCCTGAAAATTTGAAAAAGGAAAGGTTCTGGAGGGCCCAAGAGTGCACGTTTAGACAAATAAAAATGCCAGAATCTTCTCGCTCGGGAGCTACGCTCGCGTAATATTCTTCAAAGTATAGGCCTACAAGTAAAATAGAAAAGTGAAGTGTGAAAAAGGTATATTGCTTGTTTTGGTAAGAAATGTAGTTTGTTAATATAACAAAACTTCAAAAAACCAGTGAGGGGGTAGTCACCTCCGTCACCTTCACCCCTCTCGTATATGCTTCCTCGCACTGGCGTAATGATGGGGGCAGGCGCGCCGAAAGCAGTTTGGGATGGGGGGGGGCAAACATTCCAGGGGGCTCACCTTCCAGGGGCAGTGACGTAACGAGCAAAAACGTTTGGAAGGGGGGGGGCAGAAGAAAAATCTGCATCACCACCACTCTTACACTTTACATGCAGGCCCCGCGGAACGTTTTTCAAAGTGGATTATTAACGATCAGGTAGAGCGTAAATTGGCGTAGGGTCCAGTCCCTGAGCCCCGGCAGGGTGTCAGGGGTTTTAGGCATTAAAATTATGGTAAGCTCTGGGGTTTTAGGCATTTAATTACGGTCAGATGAGCATCCAGGGCCCTGCCTGAGGGCCCTTGGTGGGGTCCAGGGGTAGAGCCCCCGGAAGCTCGGGGGTTTTAGGTATTAATAACGGTCAGATGAGCATACAGGAGACCGCCTTTAAGCCCTTGGTGGGGTCCGAGGCAGGGGCGTCTCCAAAGGGAGGATGTGGGGGTGCGACACCCCCCCCCCCCACCTGTCGGCATATTGTTGGTAAAATTGCGCTGCCGTCGGGAGAAAAAAAAGGGGGGAGGGGAAAAAGAGAGGGAAAGGGAAAGAAAAGAAAAAAGAAAAGGAAAAGAAAAGAAAAAGAAAAGGAAAAGAAAAGAAAGAAAGCAAAGAAAGGAAAGAAAGAGAAGAAAGAAAGAGAAAAAAAGAAAAAGAGGGAGGAGAGGAAAGAAAGGAAAAGAAAGAAAAGAAAGAAAAGGGAAAAAGGAGAAAAGGGAGAGGGGAGAAAATAGCCCGAGAGAGGAGGAGTGGGAGTAAAAGAGAGAGGGGGTTGTTGGGTAGAGTCGTCTCGTCGAGGGATTAAGAAAGACACGGGAAAATATTTTGCTGTGTCGGTATTCTTGCTCGATCCTCGTGTACTATATCAATGCAGAAGTTTGAAGTCTGTGAGATGTATATTATCCCTACTAGTTTGTTTCCCTACGAACTGTGACTTTTTATCCACTGTGACGACTTCGAGAGTGACTACAACTACAATATTTCTATTTTCACGAAGTTTCACTTTCCTATTTATAATATCAGCTAAAGAAATCAGAGGTTTAAAATTTTCGGGGAAACTAAATTCAAACAAAGATTAAGAGTCAACAACGGTATGACGAATCGTCTGCCTTTCTCTATATTTTGATAAAACGTCAAAAATTCCGCGCTTCGCGCTGGAGGAGAAAAGTTCATTTAGACGAGTCGAGAACGGTACAACGAATCGTCTTCTTTCTCTAATAATGTAAGGAAACGTCAAAGCTTTCGCGATTCGCGCGGGAGGGGAAGAAAACTGAATTCAGATAAGGATTAAGAGTCGAGCACAGTAAAACGAATGGTTTGCTTTCTCTCATAAATTAAGGAAACGTCAAAGCTTCCGCGCTTCGCGCGGGAGGAGGGAAACTGAATTCAGACAAATTAGGGTTAAGAGTCGCGAACGGTACAACGAATCGTCTGCTTTCTCTACTAATTTAAGAAAACGTCTAAGCTTCCGCGCTTCGCGCGAGAGGGGGGAAACTGAATTCAGACAAATAGGGCTTATTAAGAGTCGAAAACGATACAACGAATCGTCTTCTTTCTCTAATAATTTAAGGAAACGTCTAAGCTTCCGCGATTCGTGCTGGAGGGGAAGAAAACTGAATTCAGATAAGGATTAAGAGTCGAGAACAATACAACGAATCGTTTGCTTTCTCTCATAATCTAAGGAAACGTCAAAGCTTCCGCGCTTCGCGCGGGAGGAGGGAAACTGCATTCAGACAAATTAGCGTTAAAAGTCGCGAACGGTACACCGAATCGTCTGCTTTCTCTACTAATTTAAGAAAACGTCTAAGCTTCCGCGCTTCGCGCGAGAGGGGGGAAACTGAATTCAGACAAATAGGGCTTATTAAGAGTCGAAAACGATACAACGAATCGTCTTCTTTCTCTAATAATTTAAGGAAACGTCTAAGCTTCCGCGATTCGTGCTGGAGGGGAAGAAAACTGAATTCAGATAAGGATTAAGAGTCGAGAACAATACAACGAATCGTTTGCTTTCTCTCATAATCTAAGGAAACGTCAAAGCTTCCGCGCTCTGCGCGATAGGGGGAAAACTGAATTCAGATTAATAGGGCTTAAAGGGGCACGTTCCCGCCAGTGTAGTTATCGCTGCTCTATAGTCATCGCCATCTTGGTTCCGAAGATCGACTTCTAATTTGCATACAGCTGTCAATCAAAGTACGCGCGGCCTGGCCTGCCTTCGCCAAGCCAGCTGATCGCTGCCGATCGTGACGTCACGAAAGTGGGCGGAAACATCAGCCGAATCTTAGAGCCGAACTGCGATTGGTATTACTTCGGCACACGTATGCGATAATCGGCATTGGGCGGGTATTCGGAACATGCCATCTGCGAAAGAGCCGTATTCTGTTGGTGTCAATTGGCAGCTAGCACCGTCCACCAGCGGGTACGTATTTTGAAGGCTCTCTTGAATACGGGGAACATGCCCCTTTAATAAGAGTCGAAAACGGTAGAACGAATCGTTGCTTTCTCTAATAATTTAAGGAAACGTCAAAGCTTCCGCGCTTCGCGCTAAAGGGGGAAACTGAATCCCGCCCGCGCATATTTTTTTTACACAACTGTTTAGCCACTTCAGTCAAATATACTGTACAAACGACTAGAGACAGAGTCTAGCATTACCCTTAGCAGTGTTGTTGGATTGCTGGAGTTGTACATGACTTGTGTACATACTCGTTATTTGTTTCGGGTTATATCTATCCTCTCTTCTCTTTCATTATGTATTTTTGCGTTCTCCTTCAATCTATCCTTTTTCTCCTTCGTTAATTTACTTTGTTTTAATTCCCTTCAATCTATCCCCCAGTTCTCATTCGTTATGTATTTCTTTTGTTCTCTTTTATTCTAACCTCTTCTCTTTTGTTTTATGTATTTCTTTGTATCTCCTTCAATCTATCCTTTTCTCCTTCGTCATGCATCTAGTTCTTTGTTTTAATATGATAGATTCCCTTTCTCCTTCTTTATGTATTTCCCTGTTTTTCCTTAGTCTAGATCTATGATCCTCTTAGCTCTTCAATTATGTATTTCTATGTTCTTTCTTTGACTTATCCTCTTCTCTTTCCTTACGTATTTCCTTGTTTTTCCTTCTCCATATCC